TCTTTATAGAGATGCTCAAAAATCAAAATCGTACCTTTTAAGGGAACTGTAACTTTGCAGCATCACATATATGTACCTATTAGCATTATCTATAATACGGATCCCGATCTTATATTCTCAATCCTATGTTTCCAAATTCGTTCTTATAATCACTTTTTTCCCACAAATTCATCCATAATTCGTGCTACTAATTCATCATTTTCCCAAACTTTTATTTCTTTTGTTGGTTAATGCGTAACTAACGATTATTCCCAAGATTTATTTTGTTTTCTATATAAAAGATACACTATCTCTAATAATAATACCACACAATTTTCATTATCTTTGTTCTTTGATTATAATGAGCTGGTTAGTGAAAGTACTTGTCTTTACGACATTAGTCTCTTCTTCAGTGTTTGTAGTAACAGAATCAGCTCCTGAATCTGCTCTTATTACTAAACTTCCTGGTTTTGATGGGACTTTTCCTTCAAAACACTACTCCGGGTAAAAAACAAAAATCCTCTGTTCTTGAAAATCTAAATTTTGTTCTTTTTTCATTTCATAGTTTAATCAATGTCTAAATTTTGGTTTTGAATATAAGGTATGTGACGATTGATGAAGAGCATGGGAAGAATTTGTGGTATTACTTTGTTGAATCAGAGAAAAATCCTTCAAAAGATCCGGTCGTACTCTGGCTTAATGGTGGTCCAGGTTGCTCAAGTATGGATGGTTTTGTCTATGAACATGGTCCTTTCAATTTCAAACCAGCAAAGACTAATAATACTCTACCACAATTGCATCTCAATCCTTATAGTTGGTCCAAGGTAAAATTTAAAATAAAATCATTTGGTTTTTCCATATTTGTTTTTTGAATTTAGCACTGTTTTTTTCTTCTTGTTGTAATGTTTTGATGTACTGTATGTTTATTTTAAGGTTTCCAACATTATATACCTTGATTCTCCTGTTGGTGTGGGATTCTCTTATTCAAAGAACAAATCTGATTACGAAACTAGTGACATGAAAACCGCGTTTGATTCTCACGCATTCCTTCTCAAGGTGAATTATAAGAAATGTTGGTAGTTTAATTTGTTTGGTGTAAATTTAGATTACTAAATGCTTCTTTCTTTCGAATGTTCTTCACCAGTGGTTCCAAATGTTTCCGGAGTTTCAAGCAAATCCGTTTTACATCTCTGGAGAATCTTACGCCGGAATCTATGTTCCAACTCTTGCTTCAGAAGTTGTCAAAGGTATATGTATCATCTCTTTTCATGTGTTGACATAATCGAAGATGCATCTTTCTTGAGCTTTTTTTTCTCTCTATTTGTTGGTTATGATGTTGCAGGGATCAAAGATGGGGTAAAGCCTGTTCTTAACTTAAAGGTACTTACAACAATAAGGAGTCAATCTCAGTTTCATGAGTTCTTCGTATGGTTTAGACAGTTGAATGATTGGATGTTGTGCTCCTCTGGTTCTGGACAGGGATATTTGGTGGGTAATGGAGTTGCAGATTCGACGTTTGATGGAAACGCTCTTGTCCCGTTTGCACACGGGATGGGACTAATCTCTGATCAACTATTTGAGGTTTTTTTAGTTGCTTAACGGATGCTTACTCTTTTCCTTTTTGATTATATATCTAACACATAACACGAAAAATCGCAGACCGTTACAAAAGCTTGCAATGGAACTTTCTATGATGTGAATGAACTTGGTTGCGGGGAACAGTTGGAGAAAGTTCAAGAGGTATACTCTTTCTTAATTTGAAGACATTGAGAATGTTTTGAGATAATGCTTTATTTGTTGTTGCATTTCAGGATGTTAACAAGTTGAATATATACAACATTCTTGAGCCGTGTTACCACGGATCATCCCTATCAGCTTTTGACATCAGATCGCTGCCTTCGAGTCTCCTTCAGCTAGGCAAAACCGAAAAACCGTTAGCTGTAAGAAAAAGAATGTTTGGTCGAGCGTGGCCAGTTCGTGCACCTGTTCGTCCAGGCATTGTCCCTAGCTGGTCTCAGCTTCTTGTTGACATTACTGTTCCTTGTATCGTAAGTAAACCAAAATCTGGTGCCTCTCTGTTTTACCATTTCATATTATAAGCTCATACGAAGAAGGAATATTTTCAGGATGATAGAGTTGCAACGGCATGGTTGAATAATCCAGCGATTAGGAAAGCTATTCATGCTAAAGAGGTGCCAAACTCTGTTTGATCCTATCGTTTATACATATATATCTCATGCTGGTTAACGCGATGGAACATTGATAGATTAGCGAGATTGGAAGTTGGGCACTCTGCACAGGAAAACTCTCATTTCATCATGATGCAGGAAGCATGATCAGATTCCATAGAAACCTCACTCTAAGTGGATATAGAGCTCTCATTTACAGGTACCTTAAAACAAAGCAGTTTTACATGAATCTAAAGCCATAGCTTCAACTTCAAGTTTAGAAAATGAAGAAACAAGTTTTGATTTTGAAGCGGAGATCACGATCTGTGTGTTCCATTTACTGGCTCTCAAGCTTGGACAAGATCTCTTGGATACAAGGTGGTTGATAAATGGAGGGCATGGTTTTCAAACAACCAAGTCGCGGGGTAGTCTTTTAGGTCCCTCTTTCTTCTTCTACTCGAATACATGATTTTGTTTCTGAGCTCTTGCATATTTTACAGGTATACGCAAGGCTATGCAAACAATCTCACATTCATGACCATCAAGGCAAGCATTGAATCATAATTCTCTACTCCTATAAGCCATCTCAATTGGAAAAATGTTATATCCTTGTGGTAATTGCAGGGTGCTGGACATACGGTTCCTGAGTACAAACCGCGGGAGGCTTTGGACTTCTATAGCCGATTTCTAGCAGGAAACAAGATTTAAGAAAGCTCTCTGATGAGTTTCATGTTCTTTATCCCATTTAGAAAGAAACAAAAAAGTACAGGAAATGAAGAAATGTTACATCATCTTATTGTTGTTGTCTTGACTACTTTGAATAAGAAACACGTGTTATTCGACTTGTGAATGATTGATTCTCCATTCTTCATTATAAAAACATCATATCGAGCTTAATTCGATTTCAATAAATGCATCCATGTAGGTAAATTACTGCAAGCTGCATCATCAAATTCCTGATTTCCTGCTCGATTTTCTATCTAAGTAACTTGGCAGAATTTGGTATTGCAAACATTTCAACAAACTTTTGGAGACAAGTGCAACTTTACTAATAGCTCTTGAGAAATTGCACTACTGAATGTAAGGTTCGTATATCAACTTAAGGACTCATAGCTGATGAAATAAAAGTTTTAAACTCCCATATTAGTATCCAAGTGCAAACAATGAATAGTAATCAAAGTATCAATCCACAAGGAGTCGGAAATAACATACTAAAAATACAAGCAATTGATTAAGCTAGGCTAGATGATTTTTTATTGTGTTTCCAAATCCTAATTATGCAAAAAATGCTTAAAGACCAAATGAGAACTAAACAAGGCTAATGCAAACCATAACCAGCTCAAACAAATTCAAATTGCAAAAGTTAACTAAAAGTCAACCGTAAAGTCAACAACTAAAAACTCAATCAAATATGGGAAAACATGGGCTTTGGGCAAAACAATTGACTTAGGATACTTAATGACTAACTAATGATGCTAGGACTACAATTCAAACTCAATACCATCTCATGAATCACACAAAGTAT